TTGCGATTCTGATTCCACGCTGCTACGAGTGTACAATTTCGTCCAATGGTCGAACACGGGACCCTTGTCTCCCATGCCTATGCCCAACAATATTTTACGTTAATGATGGTATCCTAATGTTACCTAAAGCTAGCTAACCATTTTTTTATTTAGGCTGTGGAATTCCTGTTTTTGATGTCACTTGTCCTATCGTACATTCCCTATTGTTATTTGTTAAGAAAGAAAGGGGTAGTTTGAAGTGTTTATGCCAATTAGTGATCTGATTCCTATTTAGCTCTTTCATCCAAACCTTTCCTTAATTTTGCTCGTGCAACCGATATTCGTCTTCCTCTCCGAGACCTTCCGGTTCATACGACATGGGCTTCAACTCACCGGCAAATTAGATGATCCTATGCTTTTCATGGTCCTATCGTTCTTTAGTGAGACTTGTAAGCCTATTAATTAATTACTTTCAATACCTCTAACATTTCTAAATCGTTAGTCTAGTTGTTGGCGCTTCTACCAACGTCACTTTTGCTATTGGCATCGAGCGGTATATCGCTACCAAAAATTTGGATACCTATGAAGATGCGCATACCAATACTTGTCTAGGGAAGAAGATCATATTCTGGACAGTAAGTTTAAATTAAGTTGAACTTTTAGTGCTAAAATATATTTTATAGACCCTAGTATTCATCTGGCTATGCGCTATCAATTACGCCGGGCTGCTTCCCGTTTGGGCCATGTACGGATTGTTCTATTCGCCGCAATTCTTCGCGACACTTGTAAGTTTTTGCCAATGGCACCTATAATGTAAATTTTTGCTTATAGTTTTTCATATGGCTCTACAAAGCATGCCAAGCACAGTATCGCGAGACTTACGAGCGAAAATGTGCCACTGTGGATGCGAGGTATCAAATCCACAAAGCTTGAAAACCCAGAAAAATTTGAAGGTATAAAACCCAAATAAATTTCAAAACGTCACGCCTCTTCCTGCATATCTGGCCTTATAAACTTGCCCTCGTTGTCATTGGCATCCTGATCTATCAGCTATTAGTTGAGCACTCGGTCTATACACAAACATCTATACCTATATCTTATTTTATTTCTTTTCGGCTAGGTGAGGGCTATACTTATTTACTACACACTTCTATCTATATATATTATAAACTTTATAACCTTGCACACACGTTTAATTACACGCTACAAATATTTTTACAATGTTTTGAGCATGTCCTACAAATCTGGCTCCTTATATTCTATGCTCACGACCTGCGGACCAGTTTTTATGCGTTGTTTCGAAGTTCAAAGGTACCGGAAAAAGGCATCTGAAGATCCTTATTTAATTTATTGTTAGACAAGCCCGGTGCAAGATCTGCGCAGCGCTGATGGCCACAAAATCACCTTCGCCTGCACCGAGCAAACCGCAATATATTTCAGGCAGTTTGACAATGTTTGGAAGTAGAATGAATGTTTGCATAATTGCAACCTATTTTCGTATCCTTTTGATTAACTTTTCTAATCCATTGAAAGTGACAAATGTGTAGGCGGTTTTTTCTTGATTGAGCCCGAGACAATTCCAAAAACATCAAAAGAAATTTTTCGCTGTTTTCTGAAGATATCCTATCCATTTCCGACTAAATTCTAAATTTCTGATGTTGTATTTTGTGTCTTGTGCTTTGCCCGACTTTTTGTGCTGTTCTTTCCTGTCTCGGCCGAATCCCTGTAACGCCGTATGTAATTTGTAAAGACGCGTAGTCTACATTTTGCACAATGGTCGAACATGGATCGCCCGTCCACCACGATCTAGAAAACGATCGCACAATAGCGGATGGCGCAAAAACATCCGTGTGCCCTTAGGCAATATTCCATCATCAAATCAGGTCGAAAGTCATAACCATAAAATGTTAAAAAAATTCCCGACGGAACGGGTCCGGAAGCGGGCGGGCAACGGAATGGATCTGAAAATGAACGACCCTGGTGAGAATAGCTCGCTGTGGGATAAATTGGTTAAAAACCGCTTTGGAGGACGATCTGGCAACGTCTTTCTTGAAAATCGTTGAACCTGCCCCCTGGTACCTTTCTAGCAACTTATGGCCAGACTCCTAAAAATTCGGTGTTAAAAAAGAAATCGTGGGTGTAGAGTTGATAAGAGACCAGCAACTGCCAATTCCGTTTATTTGCGACAATTCAACGAAACGACCATCCTAAAAAAACCCGGGAAACGTCCGGGCACTGATTCAGCTCTCAACCTTTCACGCCATTCGGCTCAGATTTTAAATCTTTTGAAAATTCTGTTGAGCTGGCACTAAAATATATTCTCTGTAGAAAGCGGAGATTTCGGTCTTCATAAATACCGAAACGTTTTCGCCAAAAAATCAGAAATGTTTCACATAGTACTTTTTCTCTCCATATTTGCGGGCGGTTTCTGCCATGCTGTACCAAAGAAGAATCTTCCCAAGCTCACCGAGCCTATCTACGAATTTTTGAAGCACAATGTTGATTGGCATCGGAATCCTTGCGAGAATTTTTTTCTGCATGTAAGTTGGGTTTTTCTGGTGGTGGTACTGGTCACGGGCGCCAAAAAAAAGTTTTGAAATTTGGTCTTTTCGCTGTCTTTTTCACTCTTAAAAGCTTTGTAGTTCTTTAACCTAGTGATTTTGAAAATTCCGAAAGCTGCTTTGGAATCCAGGCAAAATTGTGCACCAGATAGGCTGTGTCCGAGCCGTCCAGAAACATTAGGCTTTTGCTTGCTTACGATTGAGTCATTTCAGGTCTGCCCTCCCAAGACGTCGGCCGGCCCATTCGTGATGCAGGACGGATTCTCGAAGGAAATCACTGACTATATCAATAACCTGATCGAAAAGTCGTCTCTTGAGGTATCCTGAAAACTTATTGTTACTGACACGCGAGATAACCTTAGGAATGGCTGGATGGGCTAAAGGCGAAGGGCGTGCCGGGAATTGACAGTATGAATTTGAACTGAACTTTTCAGTTAGTTCACCAAACATTCAGTGATCTTAAAAAATCTAAACGATTCCAGCAACACTCGATTTCGTCACGCATCTCCGACAATTGTCCGCGCTCCAGCAATATCTGGCAAAAGAATTAACACCATCTGAACAAGACGAGTTGGCGAATATTAGGGCGCCGATTAGCAAGCTGGCTCGTGTTGTGCAGGATCAAGTCGGGGTAAGTGAAATATTTATGATTTTCATGATATTAAAATATCTTATCTCAATATCTTATCTGGTCTATATTTTTAGGCAAGCCGTTTCTTATCAACCGAGACCCAAAAGGTGCTTGACAAAGTAATTTGGGGCCTTAATAGTGTGAATCTGTTCTCAAACATCGCCAAAAGCAATGCGGATCCGCTCGGGAAGTTGTACAACACCTTGGAAAAGGCGTATCAGCAACAAGTTCGGATTAATGGGTACGTAAGCAAAACCACATTGAGAAATGCAATAAAGAAATACGGTATTCTTGGGGTGTTTTAGCACCGATAGTGCACGCGGGAACGCTGTCGCGGGTATCATCGAGGCATTGGTGACGATGATACCGGATACTGTAGACCTTATCCTCTCGCCTATCATCATGGATTCAAACTACAAAATGGCCACAAACACCTATCGATTCTTCCCGGTGGCTATTCTCGACACGCTGCGTTCTGATATTGCGGTGAAGGTATGGTGCGTAGCGTATAGCGCGAATCGTCCTGATATTTAAGCAAGGTCTCACCTATCATGTTGCGGCTCACGAAATATACCATGCCGTTTTCTTCGCTGAAAGGGACTTGCCGCATGACAAGGAAATGCTGCGCCGTCAGCGTTGTTATATCCAACATGTGGAGAGGGTGGAGAAAGCGTTTATCAAAGAAGAGGTAAGGCGATTTGCTTATTCAATTCTTATATTAGGTATTCCTGTGTGAAATGGCCCTCCGCTTTTCAAAACTTAGGGTTATACCAAAAAGTGTCGGAGTGTTGGGATTTTTTTTCAGGAAGCCGTTGCACACAGCGGGGATCTCACCTACGGAGAAGATGCGCCAGACTTTGAGGGTCTACAAGCTTCCTATATGATGCTGAAAGAATATGGAAAGTTGGAGGTAACGTTTTGCGCCTTAAATGACAGATTGGGCATCGTTCAATAGTTTTTAACTAGAATTTGTTTTGCATAGCTAGAAAAGACAGTTTTTAACACTAAGAAAATCGACATAAGCGTTCATAGGCGTCCACAGACTGATCCCTAAATTGCCCTGTTTGATTTCTGCCCAATAATTTACTAAAGACAGCTTTGCTGTTTTTAGGAAAAACCGTACCACGACCTCAACATGACGCGTCAACAACTGTTCTTCTACACCTACGCCGCAACCCAGTGCAGGGACGACCAGTTTCGCCGCACCCCGCCTAATCAGTGAGTTTTACATAGCCTTACAGATTATCCATCGTTAGTAGGGTGAAGTAGCATTGCGTAGCACAGCTATCACATGCAAAAATTATTGCTTTTTCAGGGCCGACCCCCATTCGCTGGGCTATGTGAGGATAAACGCACCTACATCTCTTCTCACCTCATTCCACGAGGCTTTCAAATGCCCGGCCAGCAGTCGGATGCGTCAGCTATATGTAAGTTTATGACCTTTTTTGAATTGACCTCATAGTTTTCAATGGCTTTATTGATTTTTCATTCTAGCTGGCCGCCAACCACGACGAGTGCAATTTAATCGGTCAAGTCGCAAGATTGCGAAGACCAAAATAACCTGCGAACTTGCAAGATATTCACAAGAAATAAAGATAAAGAAATTCCCGCTTGCGTCCCAATCCCGGTTCCATTTCAGGATTACGCTCTACACCTGCGTAATCTACCATCAGAAAGTTGATGCCCGCCCTAATCCCGGCTTTAGATAACAGCAACACTTTCACATTTCTATGGACGGTTTTTCTATCTTTTGAACACTTACAGAAAATGCTTTTTTTGTATTCCTTCGGATTGTAAACGACCGTATTAAAATTTGCATTTTTAGCAAGATGAATGCGGCCTTCGTTTTGTTATTTTTTGGGTTATCAGAGGCGATCACGATGGAGTGTCGGAACTGTAAATTTTTGGAAATCGTCAAGGGCCAGTTAAACAATGAATTTGGCTTTTACATGAAAAATACAAAAAAATTATGGTCATGTACTGCGATAAATAAAACCAACAATACAATCGGTAATGAATTTTTAGTAGCGACAAACGTCGACAAAACCAAATTCCAATGCCTTCCCCGCTACTTTGCATACATTTTCCCGCTTGTCAAAAGCCTGGGCGACGTTGATATGCAAAAACGGTGCTTTTTCGAGCAATATTATTTATTTTAAACCTTCTTAAGATTGTTCGAAGCCTCAAAAGAAATTGTCACAACGTGTAGCCAACATAGTACAGCTCAAAATGAGAGGTATCCCTATCGTAATTCCCGTCATAACTTCTAAATTTTCAGCTACGTCGCATTTCCAAGTCGCACATGGCGTGAGTGCAAATGCAATTTTGCTTTTATACAAAAAATTATATAGGAATCGATCGGAATGATGAATTTTACAACATGACTGAGCTTTTGGCAGAGAAGAGCGTTGATGGACCGATTTATCAATATATCGTGCAAAATGATACGTGGGAGAACTTTTTTGGACTCATCCGAGATTCTCCAATCGTCTTTGCAAGATTGCCCTAATTTCTCAATAATAATTATAATACATTTAGAATCCAGACCCTAGATGATATGAGGGAATTATTGGTCTGTTTCTTGAATCGTGATGTTGTCGAAAAACCCGAAGTTCAGCCGGCCGTAATTTTTCTGTTTGCGCTCGATTATGATGAAAGTTGGTTACGCATTGATATTTTGTTACCATTGTTTTGTTTTATAGTTATAAGCCAATATAACATTACTACCGTGTCGGCTTTTTGGGAGGATGTCATGGGAGAATTTGTTAAGAACGAGGTTATAGTCCGGGTTGTTATAGTTCAGGTTTCTATTAACAAGTTCGAATTTTTAAATTTTTACATTTTAGGATAGTTCCTTGTCGAAGACGGTTTCCGAGCTGTTCAGCGCCATCGAGAAGAAATACACCGGATGGTTCAATTTTGTATTTAATGTGTAGGCGCCCTTTCAAACGTTTTTTTAGACAGCTAACCCGATGACCGACAAGAATTACATCCAGAAAAATTATGGCATGTGCGAGGTTTTGGAGAAAAAGGTCTCGAGTATTCGGTTTTGCGGTAAATTACTTTCAGGCTGGTGGGAGAACCGGAGGTGTCGTGCTGGCATTCATGATTTGTTCTCTTGGTTATGTGTTTTCGAATTCGAATAAATGATGTTTCTTCTATCAGATTTTCCACTTTACAAATCGATATCATAATCCGGGTTTCCGGCTTTGAAAGACGAGAGGAAACGGACAAAGGTGTTCACGTCAATTTGGCTTTCTTTGATCTGGAAAAAAAACGCTATAAGGATGCATTCTCTGTTGGAAAATTGAGATTTTTAAGAGCTTTTAGAGAAATAATTGCTACCTCCGGCTTCGCCAACATCAACGCAAACCATTTTGTCAGCTTTGGATAACGCTTCTCACATGGGAATTTCTAAAATTAGAACGATTAAAAAAATCCTTAATTAAGAGGTAAAATGCTAGTTTAACTAAACTTACTTACCTCCGCCTCAAAAGCCTTGTACCCATCAATGTGCGCGCACCACCACATTTTTTCGACAAAGGCAAAGGTCAGGTAGTCGGCATAGCCAGGTTCGGAACCTGAAAAAAAGCTTTAAAGAGGCTTTTTAATTATTCTACCAGCAAAGTAGTCAGCATTCAGAAGCTTTTCGGCATCTTCAAAAGCTACCGCCATCTTCTCAAGCCCCTCCTCTCGAACCGAGTCATCTTTGAACGAGGCCATAATGCTGTGGAAAGCTGTAGAGATCTGGAAATTTTGATTTTTTTGGAGTCTTAGATGGCATATCCACTATGTCTATTGCTGCTTGATTTCCGAAAAGAGCTCTGCTAGCTTGCCCAGCTAAAAAAAGCTCACCGCCACATTACGCTCGGCAATAACTCGCTGGTTCGCACGCTCGAAAGGATCGCTTGGCAAAATTGGGTTCTTCGGGAAACGATCTTCGAGGTATTGCACGATCACCCAAGACTCGGTTACATACTAAAAATACGTTTACTGGAATATCTTGATTTATTTCTACCTTTCCATCGACCTCCAAACATGGCACTTTCCCAGCGTAATGCTTTTGGAAGTACCACTCGGGCTTGTCCATCAGATTTACGTTTACAACTTCGAGACTGAAAGCGTGATCGAATTTAAATATACATTAGATCAAAAGATGAGTTTAGGTATTTATTTAAACTTACTCAATTCCTTTTTTAGCGCAAGTAATAATAACTCGCATGGCCCAGGGGCAAAATCGCATTGTGTAGAGACGAATTTGTCCAGCAGCAAGCGGAGGGCATGGATCTCCTAAATCAAATTCTAAAATATGATCATACATTTCAAATTTAAAAAAATTAGCATAACTGACCCTTCTTCAACACCTTGCTGTGAATCCCGGTGATGACCATTTTAGCAAAGCGAAGTTCGACTTCTTGACCAAGCCCATGCTAGCCCGTGTTTATATACCCCACCCCGGCGATGATCACAAAGCTCAACCTCTTGCTGATGATCATTTGTAATCGAGGGGTGCGCGTGTTTGAGTTTTACTTCTCTAATTCTCGACGTCTATCCCTCACTCTCACTTTCCCACGCATGTCCGCCCAATTTTTGTTTGCCGGCCGTTTGTCAGCCAGCACAGACACTAGAAATCAACATGGACGGCACTGACCCGTAAAATGGGAGATTAAAGCGGGTAGCAGGAAATTGCCATGAAAATTTGTCAACTTTTAATATATAGCTTTACCTATTCGAAATGGCTGTCCGCACACCGTGATTTTTTCTGCCCGCTCGTCCGATCTGCCCCGAGGGTATGCAGATCTGGACCCACTCGTCATTAATCTGGCCCACTATGGGGAGATACAGAAGGAAGAAAAAAGTTAAAGTTAGCTAGTCGGGCCTGAGCCTCGGCGGCCTGGCCTGAATTCAAAATTTTATAAAATTAGGGATAGCCATTCCGCAAAAAAGGAAAACGCCGCCTTGTTCTATCGAATGAGCTAGGTCTCGTAAGGTTTTGCCTATGACTAAAAAGCACTCCTTGTTAGCTAAGGTATAAATACAGTAACGACAGCACAGTAAAGACACTAGAAACGGCCGTAAAATGACGAAATGGAGCCCACGATTTGGAAATACATAGCAAATTTGCGATCACCGTTAATCAAATTTGGATCAAAGTCGGGGAAATTATAGACATTTCCGAGTTTGACCCCATACATAGATTCCATACTTCAGCTACTACCAATAAATTACGCATTAGGTTACGGTAACTAGGCAAGACAAACGTTTCGAAACCCTAAACCGCTTGAGTGGAACAAAATCGGGAAACCCCCACGGAAAGCCCGCGTTTTTGTATAACTTTTGTTGCGCAACCGGAGGCTGATAGAGTGGAAAAGTCAACACGTACCTATCCTACCCAGAGTTGCATTTTTTAGCGCATGGTTAGGGCTGAAAGTAACCGTGCCGCGGCGAAATTACGGATTTCAAGCTGGGGAGTGGGATGGCATTTGTTTGTCCCCGGTTGCCAAGTGTTCGGTATTTAAGTGGTTGGGGGAGTGGAGATGGTCATTCAACTCGAGGCGATTCTCCTATCAATCGACCCTCTCGCAACAAATCGGCTACGGTAGGTGGTTTTTGAAGATTTGCACTGTTTGCCTACCTCAAAATTTTTAAACCGATAGGTTTCTGGAGCGTAGCGCACCAGTTAATAGCTGATTTTCATACGAGATTCAAACTATGGCCGGTGTTCCTGGTACCCAAAAGGTTACAGCCCGTAATATACTATTGAAATTTTTTTAATATAGCGTCTTATGCTAGGAAGCGTTCTCAGAAATGACGAAACTTCTCCTCCTCGTCGCCCTCGTCGGCATCGCCGCCGCCGGCTCTAACAACTCGCCGGCCAGGACCCTGGCCCCTCTGGTCCAGGTTTGTTTCATTTTCACTGAGGATATCTTTGAAATGTTTTTTTGCAGCCTGTCCTTAAAAGCCTTAGGCATCCATTATAATTCCAGAAATATCAAGACCTCATCTACGCCGGAAAGTACGACGAGCTCGAGGACCTTTACCACCCGAATGCCGTCCTCGTCGCCATCGGCAAGCCCAATCCCTTCTACACCCCTGAGAGTAAGGATTTTTTAGTAGAAGCTCTATAATCGTTTCCGATTTTCTGAAGAACTTCCAGGAAATATAAATGCCCATTTTCAGAAATCTTCGAGGAGATCAAGGACGCCCGTTCGAAGGTCGACAACGCCAGGACCGTCATCCTGAAGGTGATTAGGTTTTTTTGATACATTTACTAACATTCATAAAGACCTTAATATTATTATAAGAATTACCAGCGCCCAAAACCCGCTTCGCGGGCCTTGGGCGCTGGAATGCGGCCTTTGCATGAACAATTTGACTTTTCCCTGGCTCGGGTCCTTCGGACCCTCCTCTCCCTACCACCACACACGCGCGTGCAACCTGGAAGAATGAGGAAATTTGTATTTTTTCACATTATGCAAATTACCCCAAAAATGAATAAAACCGGCTTTAACTTTGTAAACTTGTATTTTATCGCAATTCTGAAAACGCCATTGGAAAGAGAAGGGTCGATTCCCCCGGGTGACGAAGAATTAGCGCATTTTATCCAGGGGATGGTCCTTAAATCGGGCCTCCAAAGTGACATCCACACACACACACACAGAGATACACCCCAAAATTATATAAGGTAGGATGAGATTAATTCTCTTATTTCTTTTAGGAGGATTTTAGCGGCGCCGGCGATATCCTCATGTACGAGAACCAGTGGAAGATCACCACCTGTAAGTAGTGAATAATTTGGACCTTGTAATATCTATCACTAGCATTGGTATATAACACTAGGCCTAATTCTAGAATCTGGGAATATTTTTTTATATATTTTAGGTCTAGAATTTCATGGCACTCCTCCATAACATTAATTTATTCTCTCATTTTCAGCTAACTTCGAGCTGAGCGGCCCCTACCGCTCCGTCTGGGTCAAGTACGAGGGCCGCTGGGTCATCTACCACGAGGAGTACTCGCAGACCAAGCGCCACAGACACCACTCTTATTAAAGAGGAAAATTGCTCTTGCTAGTAAACTCTCCGGTTCCCTCCATCTGAGCTTGTCACCCTTTCTCGTAATGCTTTTCCGATTATGCGCAACCTTATGCAGCTGTTAATAAAAAATCTGTAGCAAGTCTTGAATTCTGGTGATTGCACGCTTACTCAGCATTATAAAGAGCAGAAAATCGCCGTAAAGGGTGTCAAAAAAATAGACCCTCTTTCGGGAAGCCGAAAGACCGGGAGGAAAAAAATTAACAAAAAAATAAAAAAAATACAAAAAAGGGGGAAAAAAAAGAGCATTGGTTTTCAAAAAAAAAAAAATTTTTATAGAAAAAATTAAAAAAATTTAAAAAAAAAAAGTAAATAAGTATTTTTTTTTTTTTTAATATATTAAATTTAAAAAAAATATTTTTTTTATAAATAATTTTTTTTTTTTTTATTTAATTTATTATAATTTTTAATTAATAAATAAAAAAGAAAGAAAAATATGTTTTTTATTTTTTTTAGAAATTTTAAAAAATAAAAAAAAGGAAAAAAAAAGGGGGGGCGGGAGGGGGGAGAATTGTAAGGGGGTTCCTATATTTCTCATCAAAAAAAAATTTTTTAAAAAAAAAAAAAAAAAAGGAAAAGAAAATAAATAAAATTAATAAAATGAAAAAAAAAGAGGAGAAAAAAAAAAAAAAATTAAAAAAAAAGTTTAATTTAAAAAAAATTTTTGAGAAAAAAAAAAAATTTAAAAAAAAAAATTTGGAGAGGGGGGGGGGATAAAAAAAAAAAGAAAAGGGGGTTTTTTTTTTTTTAAAAAAAAAAGAGAAAAAAAAAAAAAAAAAAAAAAAAAAAAAAGGGGGAGGAGGGAAGGGGGTATCAACTAATATGGTTTTGTTGTGGGTTTCCGTGTGTCTGTCCAAAGCCGAATTCAACTCGAAGGGGAAAAGAGCTAGCTCTCTTCGATTCGGATAGAGCGTGGTCAGAAACCCCTAAACTGATAAAAAAGCTATGAAAATTTATTAAATTATTGAATTTAACTTTGAAAGTTTTCCTCAGTAAAAGGAATGGGGGACATAGTGAGCCAGGTCGCGCGCGTTTCGGCGATGGGGAGGGAGCGCACAAGGGGAAGCCCGAAGTTAACAAATCCGGAAATTAACTCACAGTCAGTACTGAGTTGTCAGTGCCGAGGCGGGCCGAAACATGTAAATTAATGTATTAACAGAACTTCATAAACTTTATCAATACTAAACAAATAATTTTTCGCCTTCTAAAACGGTTTTCGACCATTGCTGCAAGCTAGCGACTGTCGGTAGCGACGACGATTGGCCCGGAATCGTAGACCTCCCCTAGACGATACTGGATATCATTATCTTCTTATCCTTTAACATACCAGATCATGATCGCAACCAGCAAAGAAATAGCCACCATTATCACCGTTAAGACTATCATCAAAATTGGCGTCGGTAGCTCGGAGAGTTGCAGCGAGATTACTGCAATTTGACAGTTACGATTCTGTAAGCTCACATACCTTGAACGGCCTTGTGGATACGACACCAAAAGAGATATCCTTGCAGGAGCACCTGAACATGAATATGGTTATTTTATTTCAACAAAACCCCTACTCAAAATAGGTTTGCATCCAAAAGCAGCGGCCACCGGTCGCAGAACAATAGGCCGCACAATACATTACCTAAAAATTGTAGGACTCTAATTTACCTAACCGGCCCAAATTTTTTTATCTCGGCTCGGCTTTTCGATAAAGCGCTGTTAAGCATACCAAAAGCTTTGCCTAGGCAGACCAATATTTTTAGATTTTGAATGAATTATTTATTAGGATAAAAACAGCATAAAATGAAAAGCCTAAAGTTAAAAAGCCCAATTTGCGGTTCAGGGGGACTAGAGTTTAGCCCTAAAAATAACCAAAAATTCCAAAAATCGTTAGCTATTCTAAAAATCACATTCCGGCCCCGGCGGCTTCCGGGGCAATGTTTAGCGAGCCAGCTAATGGAACCGCCGTTCCGTTTGTTGTTTATTGATATTTGAGACCGGGAAGGCCAAGAAAGCGCCGCTGTATTGATGGCGAATCGGCCAGCTCGGTCACTTCAATCCGATAGATAAAAAGTGTACAAAATGAACTGTGGGTGCGTGCAAAAAGGGAAATGGCGATAATTTTGCAGAAGTTGATTTCTTGGTCTTGTGGCTGGGGACGCGCAAGATCAGATAGGTAATATAATGACGTATTGTCAGCAATGGGAAGATGCTTTGCTGCAAAAGCTGGTAGGATATTCATTGACTTCGTTACGAAAAAAATTGGCATCTCTGCAAGTCAAAAATCCCGATTTATTTCCGAACCGCTATTTTTTTGCCGGTAGTTTTGTGTATCAACGGGCACTTGGAGAGGCATTTGAATGGACTTTGACCGCGGGTGGACCCTGAATAACATTGGTATGCAAATGTATGCCAGAACAAGGTCGCGGCGTACTTCTATCCTTTTGTGTCTGTACCCGGGTATACAAATATGCTAAACCTTGCTGCCAAGAATCCGGAAATTTCGAATCGATAGGTGTAAAAATCTCTGCCATGGGTTCTTCCACAAGTACACGATACAGCCTTCGCTTGTAAGCTTGCGCAATTTTCGTTTTAAACCTCAGCTCTACCCATTAAAACGCTATTAAAACTGCAATGTTTTCTGCTGTTGTCTTTATAGAGTGAAAATTCAGTAGTGAAAATAAGCTTTATTCGGGAGTATCAATAACACGGAATGCATTCGATCAGTTCATGAATTTAGAGATGCTTGATGGTCTGGCTGAACTCCTCGTGGTAGATGACCCATCGCCCGTTGTATTTCACCCAGATGGCGCGGTAAGGGCCGGTCATCTCAATTTTGCCGGTGCTGATCTTCCACTGGTTCTCGTACATCATTATGTCGCCGGAGCCGGAGTAGGTTTCCTGAAAATTAGGAGTTAGTTTGCACGTTACTTGGTATAATTGTCAGCGTAAGGCATCAAACTTACCTTGAGGAAGCTTGTCTTGATGTTTCCAATCTTGGAGCGGGATTCTTGGATTTGCTGGAAGATGTCTAGATGGATATGTTTAAATGAGATTTCAAAATTCCAATTAAAATCAGATTAAAACCTACTCTTCGGGGTGTAGAAAGGAGCGGGCTGGCCGTCGATGATCATCACGGCATGGGGGTGGTAGAGGTCTTCGAGTTTGTCGAACTGCTTGGCGTAGATGAGGTCTTGGTATTGCTGAAAATGGATTATTAGCATCGTAACTACCTTCTCATAACTACGTCATTATAACCGGATCAAAAAGCTAATGCCTAAGGTGTTTAGGTAAGAATCCTCAGCTTACTTGCACTAGCGGTCCCAACGTAGCGGCCGGTGACATGTCGCAGCTAGCAACGGCAAATAGCCCAACAAGGAAATAGAGATATTGTTGCATTACGGCAATTTGCGAGCGTAGAATAGGAGAGTACCCGGGGGCTAGAAGACCAAGAATGGAGTGGCCGTTGCACGAATGAACGGACAGCCGATGCGGGACGGTAAATATAGGGGCGGTTGGGCGCACCCTAACGGGGTCTGGGGTGCACTTATCATTCCCTTCCGTACCCCGGGGGCACAAACAACACATTCAATGGGGTTCCTCTTTGTGAAGGGAATAACAACGGGTTCGATAAGTGCGCGCTGTAGGGATAGAATACCAATGATCTGGAGCAAGGACGATAAGTGTGGTATTGGAGTGAGGGATTTGATCTATGGTGTTGCACCATCAGTATCCCACGTATTCTGGCGAATATGATTTTAAGATGCCATTAAACCGAAAAGCCAAATAAATAACCAACGTTGACGATACCATTTTTTCAAGTTCAAGCGACCTGTCACGTTCCCCTTGAAATATTTTTCTTGCAACGATGCCGATCTCCGAAACCGTACGTCGATAGGGCACTCGGTTCGGAAATTTTTTTGCCCTTCGAGGCCCTCAGCAAATAGCCCGCGAAAACCGGGGTACTTTTCCCACCGCAAAGTTGCGACGGTGAAGCCCTAGGCACACAAAGTACCCAGAAGAAGGTGGGGGCGAAACCGTTGCGGCTCGTTTGATGCGGAAAAAATTCGAAAATTTAAGCCAGGATGTTTGAAGTGTTGGGTGTTTCATGGTCCTTGATTTTCAAGATATTCGTGCAAGCTAAATCTAAAGGGATTTTGGGCCTCGCAAGCAGAAGCCCGTTTTGCAACCCGTAAAGGTGTTGTGAACGGAGGTCCATTAACATGGCCGCAATGTGTCCGATCGGAGCGCTGCGTGCGCGCACTCCGGAAGCAGTTGAACTGAAAAGTTTCTTTTTGTATGGAACGTTGGCTGCGACACATTTTGCATTGCGTATGAAGGAGCTTCAAAAGAAACAACTTCGACGAGTTGTGTAATCTTCCGTAAAATCTCTTTTTACAAGCTCGTGATATATATATCAAGACCCATTATCCCTAAACCTGACTCATCCAACCGCCACGTAACCCTTCAATTCCAGAAAGTTCACCCCCCATCCTCCCGCAAACACGCAATAAAAATCCCGGAGGTCAAGACGGCTTTCGAATTTTTTGTGCCTGAAGCCCGCGGTTGAGGACCCACGAAAAATCAACATTTCACCCTTTCCACGAGTTGCGTTTTTGTTGACAAATGGTTAGGGCCGGAACTGAACGTACTGTCCGCCCCTGGGAATGCCTTTCGAGAAATGGCAGAGGAGGATACCGTATGTTGTTTGCCCAGAAAAATATAGGAACGGGCCGTATAAAAGGGACGTCGGGGTGGTTGATGATCATTCCGGGGTTTCCCATTGGAGATCGAGCTTCACACTTCTAGACTGAAGTATCCGGTATGGAAATTTTCGTTAAAGTTTTTTTTTGGCTTTTATTAAGCAATCATTTTAATAATACAGTCTACTTTTTTATAGAAAATGAATTCGCTGCTCTGCCTTGTCGCACTCCTTGGAGTTGCCGTAGCATCTACCGAGTCTCCATCCGCCATTTTGGGCCCGCTTGTTGAGGTAGCCTTTTGTGTTAAATTTTTCAAATAGTTTCATATACTCTTACTATAGCTTTACATAATTCAAATATCGGTACTTGTCAGAAATACCAAGACCTCATCTACTCCGGAGACTACGAAGAGCTCGAAGAGCTCTACCACCCGAACGCCATCCTCGTCGTCAAGGGAGACGAATCCCCGTACTATACCCCGGCTCGTAAGATACTCTTCTTAAGCTTTTTTAATAAAATAAAGGCATCTTCGAGGAGATCCGCGAGGCTCGCTCCAAGGTCGGCAACGCCAAGACCGTCTTCATCAAGGTCAGCTTGTGTAAAAATTTAGATCGCTAAAAATTCCAGGAAACCTACACTGGTGATGGCGACATCATGATGTATGAAAACCGTTGGACCATCACTACTGGTATGAATTCTTTAAAATAAAATTTTTCGCAGACTACGTTACACTCCTAAAAACTTCCGACTAATGCTCCCATTTTCAGCAAACCTCGAGCTGAGCGGCCCCTACCGCGCCATCTGGATCAAGTACGAGGGCCGCTGGGTCATCTACCACGAGCAGTACTCCCAGACCAAGCGCCACATCCATCACCACGCCCATTAAATGAATCTATACGAATATTATTCCAATTCCGTCCTTAATAATTTTAATTATGTACTAAGAATTTCTTTAATAAACCGAAGTATTCAAGTGAAGCCTCTGTGCGCACCTTATAATCCATTTTTTTATTAAATTAAATATATTGTTCCTTAAAGTTTCTTGACGGCCTGGCTGAACTCCTCGTGGTAGATGACCCACTTGCCGTTGTGCATCACCCAGATGGCGCGATAGGGGCCGGTCAGCTCGCTGGTGGCTGAAATTGGAAAACTTAAATTGGCGACAAAGCTGTCTCAATAGCTATTAAATTTTGGCAAAGCAGTAGTTAATGCATTTTGAAACAAAAATAATTTGTGGTATTTTCTACTTACGCTCGATTTCGGTGCCGTTGTCTGAAAATAAGGGGAAATTTAACTTTTTCTCCGTGCTAAAGAGATTTCTAAGAGCTGTTACAGTGAGTGGTCGTTAAGATCGAAATCCTAAAAAATTCTATAAAAATTACCGGTCGAAATCTTCCACTGGTTCTCGTACATCAGCACCTCGCCGGCACCGGTGAAGCTCTCCTAAAATCACAAAAACATATTCGAAGCAATCCTGTCCATTTTTACCTTGAGGAAGGTGGTCTTGGCGCTGCCGACCTTCGAACGGGAAGATTTGATCTGCGCGAAAATGTCTAAAAATTTGGGTTAGAATTACTACAGGGTGTCCAAAAAAAGACCCCTACCTAGGGGGCCGCGGTCGAGTTCGATTTTTACGATCTAGCTATCAATCGAAAGCTCTCGAAACGGCGAGAAAACAAGCGGATCTCGTTTTCTAAAATTTAATCTAATGCAGTCGATATTTGAAGTTTTTCTAAAAAATCGTTAATTTTTGGCAGGAATTTCGCAATTAGCATGCAGATCTTGCTAAATGAGCATTTTTCATGGTTTTTGGACATAAAATTAGCGAATAAAAACACATAAAAAAGAAAATTAACCCTCCTTGTGTTCTCGCCTTTTCGAGAGCTTTCGATAGATACCTAAATCGTAAAAATCGGGCACGATTGCGGGCCGCTAGGTAGGGGTTTTTCTTGGGCCACCCTGTATTGGGTAAAGCAACGCTACAAATTGCTGCTGTAGATCCAATATGCTTTCCTAAAACGCACTCTTTGGGGTGTAATAAGGCGCAGCGTGTCCGTTGACGACGAGGACAGCATTCGGGTGGTAGAGATTCTCGAGTTGATCGTACTTCTCCCCGTAGATCAGGTCTTGGTATTGCTGAAAGATTAAAATCCATAAAAAATTAAAATTAAAAATCGAATTCTATTGTCTGTCGGTAGCACTACAAGTAGGTAATTACTTATAACATACCTTAACCAACGGGCTCAAGATGAGCGCCGGGGAGGATTCAGCGGCCAGAGCGGTCCCGACGAGAGCAAGGAGTACGAGTCCGTACATTGCTGTAAAAATGGACTTTCGCAATTTTTTGATTTCCATTGTAGTTTGCGTAATCGAATTGATATTTTGACGATGTTGCATCGCGCTTCTAGTGCTTCGGAAAGTGCCAAATTTGGTTTTTAGGTTATATTTTTTATACCGTTTTAACGATCGTGCTCGTAAGACACTAAAAATCCTAAGTCCTAGGCTTGTCTTTCCTAGATACCTCTCTCAACTATTATCTTCCAACCCCAGCAACAATGCGGAAGTCTCTGAGTGCACTCGTTTGTGCAAATCTCAAATGACCGCCCCAACCGACTGTCAATAAAACCCGCTGCAGCCCCAAGGCGTATTTGCGTACTTATCATTCCGTTCTGTATCCCTTGAGGGTGCACAAATACCGTCAACACGGAACGCTACGTACAGCAATATGCAAAGGACAAATAATAAAGTTCACCTTCAGAAACTATAGATTTTCCACTCAAAAATCTCGACCAAAGATCCGGCAAGTCTTTTTACCTTTTCATACCGTAACCCAATAGGTTCCAAGACCCCCACTCGAAAGTCTAACACGACTTTCTGAGGGCTAATCCACTTGCGCGATTTTTTATAAACTTCAAACCCTCTGCAAATATTGCCGGGCCGCACGCGAGAAGGAGAATTCGGGCATTTTGTGCCTGCGCAAAGATACAGTGTAGTTCCAAGTATACAAAACGGGGGAGAAAGGGCTACGTGACCGTCCGCTTTTACGAAAAGTGCCCCAAGGCTCGGCTAAATTTTTCTGCGCTCCTTTTTCGGATTTCGCATGCGACGATCCATGTCAAGGTCAGTTTTTGGCGGTGTTGATCTATTCAGGACAACGTATCAGCAAAAAAACAAGCCGAGCGCATTTCAGCAGCAAAACTAATTCAAATTTTCGAGTTTTTGGAGATAAAAGTAGCTTCGATCGTGTTTTGTAAATTTGCAAAACCTCAAAAACCCACCAAATGGAATCAGAATGAAAATACGATCCTGGGCGAGGATTGGCCCCTATTTATACGGTTACATATTTGCATAAAAATCACAAATCCCGTCATAAAAACACGGCCGGGACGAAATATAGCGCCCTAAACCTCTGATTTTCCCATATTTTAATGATATATAAACGCACATTATATCATATTATTGCAGATTCTGTTTTGAGGCCGATTCCGGCTTGCTGCCCAAATTTACGAACGCGATTTTTGGCGCATAACCGTTTATTTTTCATGGCAAAAGCTGCAGAACCCGGGGTGGAAATGGCAAAAAAATGGGGCGGGGCATTGAAAGACATTTTCTCGAAAAATGGAGCCAAAAATGGCTGGGGAAAATCGAAGATTCCGGCGGTTTGGAGATTGAAACTGGGAATGGTTCCACGGGGTTGTGGTTTGAACGGTGAGCAGGAGAGAACGGCTCGAAAAAGTGGGTGATTGATAGAATGGGCCACCCTTTCTGGGGTTCGAAACACCGCATTGGAGATGCTGCTCAAAACAAGGTTTTTTTTAATGGCTGGGTATCGATTAAAGGTATTAAATTTTGAGCTAAAGACAGTTATTGGTTCGGTTTATTATTTTAAGGTGGACGGGTTATTAACCCCAAAAAATGTGAGAAAAACGGAGTTTTGAATCGAAATGCATCAATTTAAGATTGTTAAATTGTCCTTTATATTTATGCTCTTACTTATTTCAGAGTGGTCAATTTATGCTAATCTAGACAATTAATTGTAAAAATACCTTCAAATTTGCAAAAAACAAAAATTCGATACTCGCGATGCTATTAAATGAAAAATCTAGTATGTTAAGACCTAAAAACAGGTTTCCGAAGCCGTTATCTCTCCTAGTTCATCACCATTTCCCACAGCCAACTACTTTTTTTTAACCGAGACAAGTACGGGTAGGGACGCGGAATGGGATTACTGTAATAAGATAAAAAGATCTATACAAGAATTCGGAGAAAGCCGAGAAATGGCACGTTGACTCTGCGCAGCTAGCTCAATTTGAGATCGAACTGTATCCCTCCGAAATGTCGTCGAGGACGCGGCGCATCTGAAAACGATCCCTTCGTTTTTTGCAATATCATTTCCCCCTAAAAAACGCCCAAATTAGTCCCGATCAATCATGGCGGGGAAACGCGTGTTCATAAAAGTCGATGCCGACAGCGATGCGCCCCTTTTTGCACGTCGCCCGCTAATTTTTGGGGTCGCCGGAGCGGTGTATCTCAAGGTTTTTGCCCTTGTGGGTGGATAGATCACTTTTCATGGGTCGGCTGGTTTTCCCCAGTAAATTTGAGAAGCGGGGGTAGACGAGATTTGGGGATTTATGGGACCATTTCGCTAGAGAATAGGAGCCAAAGGTAGCGGAACGGATTGTAGTAAACTTTTGATTGTAGTTTTTAGGTAAATTGATGGCAAATACTGTCATATCATGTTTAGAAACCTGAAAAGACGCTTAGAACGTACCTCTTCCCGACCTTCCTGTGTGACGGCATGCCATGGGGATCCAATAGAAACCGAGTGAGTCCTGGCGCGAGCCTCATTAACGATATCGTTCACGTCACGGTTTTTCGTTTCTAAAATATATATTAATCTATTGAAAGCTATATATGGCTACTTATCCTGATAATCAAACCTGTAAGATAAATTAGCTTACCCGGTAAAATGAAGTACAAAACGAAAATCGAGACGATGCTGACGATGATGAAGGGTAAGTAGCTGAACGTGACGCCGACAAGCTGTAAAAAATGATTCGCTATAGCTATTGATTACTTTCATGAGTTTTCCGGCTCAGTAATTACTTTATATATTTTGCCTATTACCTGCTGGAAGGGTAAATACGCCGATGAGATGATGAAGGCCATCGAATAGGCGAAGAACACCGACACGGTGACGGCAGTCGAGCGGAACTGAATAATACATCATTTTAGTGAATATATTATCAAATTAACTTACGACTACATTTTATCTATAATTATATATTATTTTACGTACCTGCTGATTGAACAGCTCGCCAGTAATCATCCACGGAATTGGCGAGCCGACCCCATAAACGCACATGTACAGAATCAGCGCCCCAATCGTTCCATAACTGGCCCAAGCTGCCTAGAAACCAAGTTGCTTAAAGGTATCACAAAGCCCGAAATTCCGTTTTTCCGCTATCAAAAAATTCTTGCCTCAGCATACTGTTGAATTCCGGTAAATAAGCAGAGTAGGCTCAACGAGAACAAGCAGGCGACCAGCTGAAAATGTCATTTTTACATACTATTAACAATTTTTTTTATACCTGGAACAACGAAAGTGGCCGCCTTCCGACTCGATCGATCAGAATTGGGGCCGAGCAGGCAAAGAGGAAGTAGACGATGCCGATGGCCAGGGTAGAGAAGCGAGCGGTTTGCCTGACCGTTAACTTTGTAAAAATTGGCTATCGACGGTCTTCAATTTGACAATAAACCTACGGGTCCAGATTGGCGTTCATGAACATGTCGGTAGAATAAGCGAAGACAGCCGTACATCCGGTGAACTGCTGGGCGAACATGATGAACAAGGAAACCGTCAAGGGCAACCGGAGCTTCTTGCTAGTGAACAGCTCGCGGAATGTGCCATTTGGGCTCTGGAAAAATCCAAAGGTATTAACCTTTCGTTCATTTTAGCCGAAAGACGTTGCAATGCTTACTACATTAAAAACTACTTACCTTGTCCCTAGCGCTTTCCCGGATCAAGTCAGTAAAAACAGCCTTTGCCTGGTCACTTCCAACTAGCTGCTCAATGGCGCTGTATGCGGCCTCGCGATTTCCTTTTGTCATTAGAAGGTATCTAAACATAGTAAGTATTGCTTGTCAGATGCTATAGGCTAAAGACAAGGCTAAGGCTCCATTCAGAACCTACTTCGGAGACTCCGGGCAAAATGGCAGAATCAGGCATAGAGCAAGCGCTGGAAGTCCCGGTAAGGCGAAGGCATATGGCCAAAGATCGGCTCCACCGAGAACCTAAACACATTGAATTGTTCTCTATGTGAATCTAGAATATTATACGAACATTTTGATATATTACTTACCTCAGGCAACCCAATGAGCAACGAAAACCAGTCGGCGAATGAAACAGCGACCTAAAAACCCTGGTAGAAAGGCTTGAAGCAGAATATTTTGACTTTCCAGTCCCTTTAAAGGGGCTCCGAATAGCCAAATCAAAGCCCTTTTGGGAGGCCTCTTTGATTTCTGGCAAATTGCCAACGGGCGCTGCGGGACAAGAGCCCACACTCTTCCGATTTTTGCGCGAAGTTGTTTTTGCCCGATTTCTTTGTGAAAACACTATAATTCGCGGATTCTGAACCCATTTTTGAAATCCTCACTCAATTTTAAATAGTTTTGGTGTTTTAATCATCAAATTTGGTCCAGAAACAGCCGAGAACGTGATTTCGAGGTGACAACAGGCAATTTCAAATTTGCGAGCTTCCCGTGCCCCTAGGTGTACAGAGGCCTCCGACGTACATCGCTCCGATTTTTGGGCCGTCACTCAATTTTTGGCATTTCGTAGCCCCTTTAAAGTTAAAATCCTTACCATATGAAGTGTACCAGCTGCTCCACGATACCTAGCCGGCGTCAATTCCATCAGGTACATCGGGACAACACCGGAGGTGAGGCCCATATTCGCTCCGAGGATAAAACGGCCGGCGATGAGAAGTTCAGGTGATTTTGCGGATCTGGCGAACAGCTCGCAGAGCGCGCCGATCACGTTGAAGATACCATTGACGATCAGGGCATTTCGACGGCCGCAGGTTTCAGAGAGGACCCTGGAAGAGGAATAACTTTATGTTCATTTAAATCCTTCGAAACGATAAATCTATTTTTAAAGAAGCTAGGAAGTCATAATTATGCATTTCGTTACCTACCTGACCAATAGTGCTCCAAAAAGCGCTCCCAACGATACGCTACCGACGACCACCGCCCAGATGAGGTTGAGGCTCGTCTAAAATATAGTTAATTTTTGCGAAATGCTAACTATTAAATCTTACAGAACCTATTTTCCTACCTCGTTAACGAACTCCCCCGACCTCTCCGTATATGTCGCATTTATCCATTGAGTGATCAACTCTTGCGCTGGGTTGACTACACCATAACTTAAAAAAGACGATATAAGTATGATATATTATACTCTTACCTATAAAACTGGGCGCTGCCACCCAGAATTGAAGTAAGGATCGTAATATAGTATCTGAAAATAAGGTATATTTGTTAATTTTTTATTTGCGTTATTTTGCTGAGATTACGAGTTGTTCAGCTTTTACGAATTTTAAGTACGACCGCAAACATTAAAAATCACTTACCTAGCCTGTAACCTCACATTTTTCTGGGTCATAGTGCAAAATAGGAAAATATCGAAATAACCACCGTTTTAGAAATTCTATATTTCTAGCCGTCTAGCCCATGGTCAGTCTAGCCCCGGGGGCCCGTGGAAATCGATAAGGCGCTTTTATCATTTGCTTTTTTGCCGTGGCCATTCTTTGTGTTCCTAATGGGGAAACGCGCCGTTTTGAGCTGATAACCGGCTGCAGAACCACAGTGGTTGACCGGGACAATCGGTGGTAGTACAGCAGTCCTAATGACGGTTAGACACGAAAAAAGAGTGGTAGAACAGTTTTGATAAGGCTTTTGTCTGGGTTGAGTGCATGGTTGTATATTATAGACTGCGGGTTTGGAAATGACTATTTAAAGGCTTATATGTAGTTTTGGCTAAGTATTTAATAGCAAACACGTCTAAATACCGCTTTACCTAGGAAATGTTTTGTTTTAAAGTGGGGGTTCAATGCCTTAGGAGCGATACATATATTATTCTTATACCTTTTAAGCCATCGGCTCTATTAAAAACGGAAACTTACATATGGGTAAAGTGAGATATGCTGATGAAGGTCATGGCGAATCAGAAAAATGTAACACCAAAAGCGCTAGACGGTCCTAAAGTTTGCAGAATGATGGCAATAGCGTACTTCCACAAAGGTCAAAATATCAGTGCGCTGATCCGCCCCTTTCATGAGATTTTGGATTATCTCATACCCCGAAGGCATTTTCAACTTTGACATGATAGCGCTTTAGTCGATATATCGATACCCAAAAGCCAACTTCTCGAACTTTCCGTGACCTTGTAAATTTGAAAACCTTTATCACAGCATATTTACAAAAATCAACACTATTTCCGAACGAATACAGTCACAGTTAACAACAACGGAAATAGAAAAATCTACAAATAAAAAACAAAAACAACTACGCGTAAATCATGACGAATACTTGCGATGATTAATTAAACCCGCGGGGAACGGTCCGTAATATTCTGGAATACACGTAAAAATACACGAATAGAACATTTAAAAAACCAAAAAAACATTAAAATTTGTCGGTGGAGAGCTCCTTGCTGGTGATGGAGTTGACAGGGCTGAAAAAGGTATGATGGTTAGTCAAAAAAGTTTTTTACCTCTCCGTTTCATTGCGTAATTCTTCGTGCTGGAAGCCTGTCGTCGATTGTTCAAGGGTCCATACTTCGCCGCTCATATCATCAATGTCCCGGTTTTTCGTTTCTAAAATTCAATCGTAAAAATGTGGTTTTTTATACCTGGCAAAATAAAATACATCACTACCACACAGATCGCTGTGACCACGATAAAGGGCGTGTAGCTGAAGGTGATACCGACAAGCTGAAAAAAATCTTTTAAGATTTATAGAATTCAACCAAACCTCTTTAAATGGCAGGTAAGAAGTGGAGACGACACAGGCTATGGCGAAAACGGAGAAGACGCTGACCGTCACGGCTGTTGATCGGAACTAAAAGCGAATTATTTAGGCCTTTTGACCAACCTGCTGACTGAACAGCTCGCCGGTGATCATCCACGGAATCGGTGAGCCAACGCCGTAGAAGCACATGTACGTTATCAACGATCCGATCGTCCCGTAGCGTGCCCAGCCAATCTAAATTAGCTTTGAAAGTTTTAAAACCCAATTTACCTCGGCGTACTGCTGAAGTCCGGTGAACAGGGCAAGACCGATGAGTGAAAGTAGACACGCGGCAAGCTAAACCAAAATAATTTTCGTAAAAGGTCAAAAACCTGAAACAGTGCCAATGGTCTTCGGCCGACCCGGTCAATCAACAATGGAGCCATGCAAGCGCATAGGAAATAGGCGATACCGATCGCCAACGTTGCGTACCGGGCGATTTGGCTAAAAAAAGGAAGAATATTTAAAATAGCTATACTCACGGTTCAATTGCAGCCTCAATGAACATGTCCGTAGAATACGCGAATATCGCCGTACATCCCGTGAATTGCTGGGCGAACATGACGAACAGCGAGACGTACAAGGGCATTCGGAGATCTGGACGACTGAAAAGCTCCCGGAAGGTGCCACGTTTTCTCTAAAACAAAGCATGAATTTTCTATTTATATAAATCCAAACAAACCTTATCCTCTCCACAATTTCGCACCAAATCCTTGTACAGATCCGTCGAAGACTCATCGCATACCAATACGTCTATCGCCCGAAATGCTGCATCACGATTTCCTCGCGAATTCAGGAGGTATCTAAAACTACAATTTAACGCGGATTAAATAACCTACTTTGGAGACTCGGGGCAAAAAGGGAGGATCAGGACGAGCGCGAGGGCGGGCACGCCGGGTAGAGCAAAGGCGTATGGCCAGTAGTCCTGCCGCCGAGGACCTGAAAGATTATAAATACTAAAAATCAGTAAAAAACCTACCTCTGGCAACCCGATGAAGAGACAGAACCAATCAGCGAATGAGAGAGCTACCTAAATAGACTTTTCTATGGTAGAAAAAACTAATTTACCGCATGCATCGTCCCGGCGGCTCCCCGATACTTTGCTGGCGTTAGCTCCATCAAATACATTGGCACAATCCCGGACGCGACGCCCAAATTGGCGCCCAGCACGAATCGGCCGATGATCAGGATCTCTGGAGAACTAAACAAACAATTTTGGGCATTATTTTAAGCTTAAAAAAGATTTACCTTGTTGGCTTTGCCACAAATTGACAGATCGCTCCCGCAACGTTGAAAATGCCGTTTAAAATCAATCCGTTGCGCCGGCCAAACCCTTCAGCCAATGTTCTAAAAAGGTTTTTTTAGCTACAGAAACAAAATTACCTAACCAAAAGTGAACCGGCCAACGCGCCAAGAGTGATGCTGCCCACAACGATCGACCATATGAAGTTGAGCTTTTCCTAAAGCGAAAAACCTCTGACGTTATTAAAAAATTAACTCACCTCACTAAGTGTCGCACCTCGATCTGTATACGTCTCATTTATCCATTGCGTTAAAAATTCTTGACTAGGATTGACAATTCCGTAACTAAAAACAAGGTTTATAAGAGCGGAACTGGTCATACCTATAAAATTGCACACTGCCTCCAAGTATCGTAACTATGATCGTAACATAATACCTAAAGAAGACATTTTGTAAAGAAGCAGATGTTTTACCTAGCCGTAAACATCCGGAACCCGTCAAAGAATCAAGTAATAGCCGCGAATAGCGGTGAAAACGACGTTTTTTAAGGGTGTCCCTGAAAGTGTTGATTTTATTGGCCCTGTAAATGAATAAAATAAAATTAAAAATAAATTAAATAAAGTTTGAAACGATGGAAAAAATGATTTCTGGATAGAGGACTACGTTAGTGAACAGTAGACGTTTAAATCAGTGACCGGAATGCAGCGTACGCGAACGATGTCAGTTTCCATTTTACACATGTTGGGCAAAACAAACTCTTTCTATGCTGTTAAATAAGTAAATCAGCATTTTAGAAACTAGGAAATGATTCGAATGGTGCCAGACATGGTGATCAATCAAATTTGCGTTCTTTCAAGGAAACCCCCTGCACCCACCCCGGCTATCCGTTCAGCTTTTTGTGTGCAAATTTCCCGGCGGCACGGGAAAGCAATGTGGGACGCCGGTATTTGGTGCAGCTTCAACGAAAAGAATGAACGATTTTCAGAGGAATTATTTTTACATAAATCCATCATTATTTCTAACAAAGGTTGGGTCTTATATGGGCCATGTACAAGAATGATGACGCTGCAAAAAACAGGCTTCCTGTTTGCCCAGTGTTTAAATAGGCAAGACTCGGCCAGCCGTAGTTTCTTCCGTGATACGTATATTTAGACAATCGTCGACTTTTCAGTAGTTTTTATGGCCCTCGCATAAGAGTGACTCGGCCTTTTCAACCACTTAACCTTTCGGGGTTTATCAGCCACCGGAAGCCATCACGCCTGACTAAAGCGTCTCATAACCGTTTCAATGGTTGTGCAATACGCCACAAGAATCAAATAGGCAATCGGAAAAGAGTGTAGTCTCTAAAAATAGAGATCAAAAGGAGAAATGACGATCCTGTTAGGGATTACTGTCCGAAAAGGGCTACGATCCGGGCTATCTAGGGGGAAAACAGACATGTTCATCCTCTAGCTACGCCCAAAGTGCTTTCGATGAGTTTTGATACGAACATTCGTGACTGTTGAGGGCAAAATATAAAAAACGGAAAGTGTGGCTGTCCGAGTCGTACAATAAAATAATAGCAATATAATACTCATCAAAATATGATGATTCATTTTTATTAACAACCTTTATGAACGACAAAGTTCCGGCCAATTGAAAGGGGGTTTCCCGGTTTGCCAGTAATCAGGCAATTCCGGCGTAACCTAAAAAAATGCAACGCTGCCCTGTAGGTGGTTGGTCATACACATGCTGAGCACATGAATCGAATTGAAATGCTGGAAAAAGTTGATGGTTTCTGCAAAAATTGGATAGGGGAACCAGGATTACGGGTGCACATCGTGAGATAAACTTTGATGAAGGGTCAGGGTTTCCATGACTTTCAAAGAATGATATGTGGAAACCTTTGAAGATTACGAAGCGCGAAGCTTATTTAGGAAGCCGAGAGCTTTACATGATACGTGACAAACCCCCATAAAAAGAAAGGCATCCTTGCAGTTTTCAGCAGTTCAGCGCAATGACCAGTCGCACTTTTTAAACAATGCTTTCATTCCTTGGACCAACAAATGTTAGTCACACCTATCTTTGAGGGGGTTTTCCCCGTTCCCATCTCGTACTGGGTGGGGTTCACGATTTCTCGGGATTTCACCTCCCCGGAACGGGATAGTTCAAGGGAATGACGAGAGATGGACGATTTATGTAGTATAAAGTACGGGACACTCCGCTGAACGTAGGCCTAAAATTAGAAACTTTGACGCTGTGAAGTGGGAAGATTAATCTCTTGTCAAAATAAAATATATCTATATGTATGTATTTCCTTTGAAATTGCCTGTGAAGAAAATGTGTACTTGCCTCTGTACCCTTAAAGTCCAGTAATTTTCACGTTTCTTTACCGAATTTTCTACGCAAACTTCCTATGATAACCTCAGGCGAGCCACGGGCAGTTTTTGGACTTTTATTTCTGTTTTATTGCCCCCGACCCTCCCTATAATTCCATCTACACGACCGTTTTTCCTGATTCACGGTAGCCGCCCAGCTTATCAGGCACAGATTTACGACCCTGGTAGCCGGGAGTGGGTTCTTTGGGCCTCGGCTCATCCCAGCTTCATCTAGGCAGAGCCTCTCTTAAAATGATGCTATTGGTACTCCCATTTATAGCGTTTATTGGTTGGGTGATTTAGCGATCAAGAATTATAATTTTGAAGGTCAATCAGCTGCCGCTCGCCAGATTACGATAAATAATGATACTTCGTCAGTGGTATTTTATGGAGCACGACTCGCTAGATATCAGGTTTGGAAAACTGAATTTTTAGGGTAAATAACCTAGACATTAACCGTAGCGACAGATTGTGGGGGCTGCGGGTTGATTTTGGAGTACCAAGTTGGTACTCCTGTCAATACAACATTTTCTTTTACATCATCGGGACAAAATTACAGGTAGGGCTTTGACGATAGAAGAAAAAGTTCTATTTCTAGCTATGATCAAACCACTACTTCTAAATTGTTTGTACTGACTGGGCCTGTGTCACTTTCGCTCGTAAACAATTCCGCGACGGACTTTATTGTTTCGTTCAGAAGATGGGTGGGCGTACATGAGCGTAAGTTGGTGAATATTTCGGGAAACGTATAAATAGAATTAAATTAATCTATATCATAGTTATACTGCAGAAGAAGAACAAGACTGATAATTTTTAGATACTTGGCCTTTTGAAAAACTACAGGCATTTGTAGGTACTTAAAACGGAAGGGACGTGCGTAACCGAGGTAAATAGCAAGTCGTAAAGTTTAAAAGAAGTAAGAATACATATCTTTAAAACCTTGAAACCCCAAAGTTTTTGGAGGTATGACTTTACAATCTTACAAACACGATGTACGTTTTAAAACCGTAGCATTACGACGCCGTAGCGAGCGTACACCGACGTACACCGTAAGTTTACACACCCAGAAAATCCTACCGTAAAGTGCAAGAAAATTCACGAGCGCTCCCACGCTGTGGAATGCGCACGGAAAGCACGTCGAAAGCACAGTTCAACGGTTTCTGCCGGTCCACAAAAAACCCCGGTTAATTCGATTTCCCGAACCCCATGGCTGTCTAAAAAGTGCACACTCTCCGGACATCCTTTACAGTCCCTTTACAGAGGATTGGCTACCGTCGGTGTTCCGCGTGATCCCCGATGTGAACGGCGCGATGGACACGGTTCGGCTGGAGAATGGGACGCGTGCCGTTACACTCATCCTCGCACGCGACCAATTCCAGAACGTCAAAATTTTTGCGCCACAGGTGAGTGCGCCGTGGTCAAAAAGGATGAAGACACAAAACACACGACTAAATTTATGTCTAATTTGGTGGTTTGAACACCGCTTTTTCGGGCTGATCTTTCAAAGTGGCTGATTGCATCAGAAACAAAAAGGTTCCTATCATTTAAGGGGTTCTCGTATACCTGAAACCTACTGCATTTGTCCTGGCGGAAGGCAAAATATCCACAACTCCAAGTTACGTCTCAAAAACGGATTTGTAGGAAAGCGCATTAGGTAAGAAGGCCCATAGTAGCCCATTGTCGCCCGATATCGGCTACTCGACGCGCCACAGCCTGCATGACTCTATGCGTTGAGATTTTCTGTATTAGGAGCCCTAGTTTTTTTACTAGAAATGTACAAAACACTTTGAAATAGGTATCACCAGGATGCCAACTATATCTTCATGCCGGAAACATCCCCAGCTTCGAAACCCGGGACCGCACCTTGCTCTATGTTTTTGAGTGCGGTTACTTGAAATTCGTAAAACGATGTTTTGAATAGCGAAGACAACGTCAAGGACTATCAATCGAGTTACGTGCGAACTACAGCCTTTACATTCATGGTCCCGCAAAATTGCACCGGGTCCTTCATGTGGTCGGTGTTGAACAAAGGTACGGGGCAAGGTTTAGAACAACCAAAGCCTTAAAAATCGTATAGCAACCCTACTATCACGATCAAAACCTGGTTACAGCTACGTTGATCGCTGATTCATACAAGCC